CCTGCTACTACAAAGCTTCAAAGGGCTGAGTGTTTTCTTCCCCTGAGAGTCTTGAAAACTGTGAAATAATAAGAGAAATTAATAGAAACTGACTTCCTTGCTTGTGATCACACCTGAAGAGCATACAGAATAGGGGGGGTGTTTTGAAGAAGAGTGCTGACTTCTTTTCAAATAGCACAAACAAGCTTTTTAAGTAAACATGAAAAAGAAGTGCCTCAGGCCAGCAATATCCGTCTCCTTTTCTCATCAATATTTGTTTGCCAAGGAAACAGCAAACACAGCAGCTTCGCTTCCACAGCTGTGAGGCTACCAGCTGAGTTTCGGGCACAGATTTGGGGTACCCAGTGTACAGCACATGGGGCTGATGGATGAGCATCTACAGCAAGGATTCTGTGGCAGGAAGCAGCAGTGATTTAACTCTGTTCCCATCTCTGACAACAGGACCTGGGGTATGAATTAAGTGCAGTGCTGAGCACATGTGAAACATTGCACTCTGCGCGTTTGTAGCGCTGATGATTGAACTCGACATCCAGCTCGCCAGAAGCCCCGTGCTTGGTGTGTCCATGGCGCACTGAGACACCTCATTCCTCATCCTGTGCTGTGCTGGCAGTAAGGGACCTCTGGCCTCTGCTGCCCCGATGCATGGAGATGAGCTGTGTGTCTGTGACTCAGAGGAAGCTGTCTGAGCTGTTCACCGATGTCAGGAAAAAAAAAGTGGAGCTGCAGGAGCCAGACGAAACCCAAAGCACTTTTATAACCTACCAAGTTCATGCCCAAAAAAAGCCATTCAGCCCCCAGTTCCCTCAAGAGATAAAAGTCCCCTGTACTGAGAGAATTTCTGGAGCATCTTGTGAGCACTAAGTACAGCCTCCCTTAATTAAAGGAAGGCAGCTCGGCAGAGTTGTGTGAAAAGCTCCTGTGACACAAAGCCCAGAAAGGCTTTCGCAAGGGAGCGCAGCACCAGAAGGGTTTAATGGCGTTATAATGTCCTTGAATTACAGTGGCCACAACACAGCGCGATGTATTCCAGCAGTGCATTAGCAGCAGCAGAAAATCTGCTATTTCTCTCTTGAGCCCTTGTCAGCGTTACTGAAAACTGGAGTTGCCATCCCTGAGATATCCAAACTGAAAGGCAGGAGGAAAGGAAAAGGAGATATGGGTGGGAGTCCTCGGATTTTGGAAAGAAAACAAATTGGCTTTGCCCACAAATTGCCCACCTTGCTTCAGCTCCTTTGTAGTTCCCATTGTGTCTTATTATGTGTAATAGTTTTCTGAAATCTGTCCGTTCTGGGATCAAGCTTTTGGGACCAACCTTTTGCAAGGGAATGATGGTTCCCTTACAGACCGTCAGGAAGCTGTTGGTGGATTTAGCTCTTTCATGCACACACATCCAAGGGTATGTGCAGTCGCTCCATCCATGCGTTTAATAAACTTGAACCACAGCCATTTCTGCTGTGTGTGGCGAGGCGTGTAAAGCCAGGGCTGTAGTACAGGAAGGAGCGGTGGTAGTTAAAGGCTGTTTATATGAATTAATGCTAAGGAAAAGGAGCTGCTTGGCAGACTGAGGAATTGAAATCCATTACAGGTTGTAAAGGAGACGTGCGGGCTCAGAAAAGGCAGAAAAGCTTCTCCATGCTGCCCCCATCAACATTAACGTGGAGAAGCTGTGCGAGGGGGGACCACGGGGACTGCCCAGGGGCTGGCAGCTGCTGAGCTCTGTGAGATGGGCATTTGCTCGTGTGCGTATTTGTCCTGCAGAGGCTCAGCTCAGAAATGAGTCCCTTCAAACTCATTTCACCAAATATTCACTCTTTTCCAACAAACAGCTTAGAAAACTCAAACGAGACACAGCAGCTCGATTTTTCTTCCTTCTCCACATCTTTTAGCCTTTCTCTGGAGCTGGAAGATGAATGGCTCGGATGTGGCTGCAGTAGCACGGGCATGGCTAATCTGCCTCTCTATTGATGACCTGTTTCTGAATGTCCTGGCCTGATTTATGAAAATGTACTGTACTTTGCACTATGTTTTGGTGTTGCCCTGTTAGGACTGCATGCAAACTGCAGCAGAACAGTGATGCTTATTCATTCAAACAGTGAAGGGCTGGCTGGGAGCTGAATGAGCTCATAGTTGTTGCCGTCTACACTTGGAGAAAGAGAAACAGGACAAAGCGGGTATCCCAAGCCTACTCATTCTTTTCCCGACCATCAGTTTGTTTTATAAATCATAATCTTGAAAGCACAAGGTCATGGTATTTGTTTAATCATTCACATAATAGGTTTTTAGGGATGGATTCTATTTTAAACCCTCTGCAGTAAACCCTGATAAAGTTGGAACTGAGGTCTGTTTGTCTGCCAGATTTTCTTTCTCTTGCTATTGCTTGAGCATTAATGAGTTTAAAATCTGAGATTCTGATTCCCATCTCTTCATAACGCAACTGAACAGTTACCTCTATTGCCCGGGAGCATCTCAGCATTGTCCCAGCCTCTGTGTGCTGAACTGCTCTTCACACACACACAGACCAATAAAAGCAACAGCAGAATCCCACCTGAGCTATCTAGGAGTGCTTCAAAAGTCCTTATCCCGATGGGGGGGATGTTTGGCAGGTCCCCTGCTACAAACCCTGTCACAAGTGAGAGCAGAGGCCGTGCAGGAGAGGTCTGCTGGGGAGCAGGGCTCAGGGCTCAGTGCTCTGCAGGGGACACTGCGAGAGCAGAGGCCGTGCAGGAGAGGTCTGCTGTGGAGCAGGGCTCAGGGCTCAATGCTGTGCAGGGGACCTGTGGTGGTTTGGAAACATCCCTCAGCTGTGATTTCTGGACTGCAAGGCAGAGAAGTTCACCTGGGACCTTAAATCACTAGGACATGGTTTCAGTCCTAGGTTGTTCACCCATGGGGAGCCATTTAATTGCCTAATGTGTTAATTAGCTAAGATTCACACGTATGAGCTGTTGCTAGCTGGAAGAGAGGTGGTAGGGAAGGCACACTGAAAGCTGTTACCTGGCCCAATGCCCTACTACAGAAAATCTTTGTCTTCAGGCCATTCACCTGTAGGTGAGGTCCAGCCCGCAGAGCACAGAGACAGGCGAAGGAGCTCAGGGCAGTCAGCTTCCATGCAGCATGTTTTCCTTGGGGCCACCTTGTCTTCAGCTTTGATCCATTGCCTCTCATGGGAAATCAGTACTTTGAGACTCTGCCCAGTTTCTCTTCTCACCAAGGAAAAGAGGAGACGTAGAAAGCAGCAGACAGAGCTTATTAGCCCATAGGAGAATTTTCTGGTTTGAGAACAGCACCTGAATTACAAAAAGGCAACAGGGATAAGATAATTTCCACTTACGGAAGCAGGGTACCCCATGGGGTGGGAGAAGGAGCAGATGTACCTGGCACAACCTGAAGGTCTTCTGACTTCTCCCCTGTTGGGCAGGCTATTAGACGTTGCAGGTAGGAAGTATGATGTAGTTCCTGCCCTGAAAATATTACACTTACCCTAGTGAGCCTTCTGCAAGGATGCAGGAATAACGTCTGCTCTCTTGCTGCTGGGACTGGGCTGTGCTCAGCTGTGAGCTGTGACGTCCTTCCCTCACACTGCATCACCCCCATGTTTTGAGGCCTTTTTGACAGCAACTGGATTTTCTTGCTGTGCAGCACGAGATTGGATGCTGACAGGAGCCATTAGGAGCTAGTGTAAACCATGCTAACATGAGAATATCCTGAAAAACATAATTCTGCCTGTAAATAAAATCCTTTTTTTGCTGAAATCAGTGGCAACTCTAAGATTTTGACCTTAAATCAGACATTGCTTGCAAGAGAGGCATTGCAAGAGTCACGATAACCTTTATTGGTACATTACCTTGGCTCAGACAAGCAAGGATGGAAATGGATTTTCTATGGATCTGTCTGTAAGGGGGGTTGTTGTTTAAAGATAATAATATTAGGAATGCAAATTATCCTACAAAAGCTGACGATACTTAAATATGATTTAAATTAATTTAGCATTTAAACAGAAAAGTAGAAAATGGCATTAAATTCAGATGAGGATGAGACTATGCATTCTGGAGTCAGAAATATTCAGTGCATCTACAGAATGGAATAGAAGGTCTGCCTGGTAATGGATTGTGAAAAGAGTTCAAGCTTTTAATAGATCATTCCTTCAGATCATCAGCACGGTAAAGCGGTAGTTAATAAATTATTTGACGTGCACATTTACTCATATATTTTAACTAGCTGTAATGAACAGGTCCTGCCAGCTCACCTAGATCCTTCCAATAGCTGCTAAATCGCTTGAGTGAGATTTAGTAACTCTCAGCAATATTGATGTCCGGAGCTGTGGGTAATAAATGAAGTGACATCAGGAGTAGCTTGAGCAGAGCACTGCATGAGACCTTTGTCAGGCCTGCAGCAGAGATGTAGCTGTTTGGCCCCAATGGACATCGGTGAGCAATTCCCTATGATTAATTTTCGGTTGGTGTGACCACCCCATGCCCGTGCACCTGTAACAAGAGTCTTGGAGAACTCTTGGTCCCAATTTGGGGTTGACTAGAGCAATTTGTCCCATACTCAGTTTTGTTGCAGGCAGTTGCCTGCTCCTCCCCACAGGTTTGTGGTACTCCTCGGGCTGCACACGAAGTAGGGAAGGGGGAATAGTGGAGTCTGACTGAGCTCTGGGGAGAGGAGAAGGATCCTCTCTCTCTTGGTGCCATTACACTAGGACATCCTAAAGCTGGAGTGGGAATTAAGGACTGGAAGAAGCTGTTCTTTTATCTTAGATGGTACTGGAAATGTTTATAGCAGAAAAAGCCTGCCTGTTAAAAAGATGCCAAATTACACAGGCTATTAAGGGCATACCAAGCACCTTCCTTGTTATTCTTAGCTGTCCTCTGAACTTGAAGCTAGTTTAAACCTATATCCTTTCTCATCCTCCCACTCACTTTCCCAGCATGTGGTGTGCTTTATAATTTGTGAAGAAGCTCATTAATGTTTTTTTTCCTTTCTCTTTTTTCCAGGTTTCTGACAGATGTGACTATGTCTTTGTCAATGGGAAGGAAATGAAAGGCAAAGTGAATGTCATAGTTAATTTTACTTACCAGCATCTGAGTGCCCCATTAGAAATGACAGTCTGGGTTCCTCGTCTCCCGCTGCAGATAGAGGTGTCTGACACAGAGCTAAATCAGATCAAGGGATGGAGAGTCCCCATCATCTCTAATAAGAGGTAGGTTTCATTAGAGGATGTTCATTCTGGGCTGCGCACTTGCCAGAGACCTGTCAGGGCCAGTGGATCTGAACATGCTCATTTGGCCCTAATGCAATTCCAGTGTAAATTTGAAGGTCATCAGACATTTATTCAATAGACTCCTGCACTGGACTTAGGAGGAAAATGGAAACTTCGGGTTGCATGATCCTACATTGGAAATCAATTCCCTTGTATAGCGCTAAGTGACTGAGATGGAAAGGGCCAAGTTAGGCAGGATCAGCCATGAGTCACAGGAAGGCATCAACAAGGACCAGCTCTGGCAAGGTTCACAGGTCCTGCCAGTTAATTTATTCATTGTTAACAGTCACAATTAGTACATACTTGTTTCACAGCACTGTAGGGTCCAGTGGCACTGACCAGTGTCCCAAAGTCAGGACACTGATGCACCAGGGCTTTAAAGATACTGACCATGCCCACGGAGCAGTGGCCTGTGAATGACATGGCAGAGGGTGGACGTAGGCAGATCCAGACTGTTTGTATCTGCTGTCAGTGTTATTAAGAACAAATTGGTAAAGGAGGTACTTGCTATTCCCATCTACCTCTGAAGACATAATGTATCACTGGGTTTCTGTTAACATCACAGCAAAGAAATGGGGATTTTGGTGGAGATGTGATTTCAAACTGAATGTCATACAGAGAGGGATGTGTGTGTAGGTGCAGACAGAGGAGATTTCCATGGCAACGCAAAGATGTTTATGGGAAGATCCCAAAACAAAAAAGTGTGAAGGTCCTGAAAGTAGGGACTTAACGTGGGAAATGATGAGCGATATTTGGAGAGGACGATGTGGTAGCTAAGCTACCAGACCAGGTGATTACAGCAGCTGTTTTGGAGATCTAGACAGCCTGGAGGTCTCGGTTATGGACAAGGGAAGCAGGATAAAAGTAAGGGAACCTGGCTAAGTTCAGAAATGCGCTGAAGGAAGCAGCTTCAGCAGAGCAATGGAAGGGAGCAAAGGCCTCTTCATCCAGCAGCCAGGCTGCAGACTCGTGTCAGCAATAGCTCTCCTGTTGCAAGCACTCCCAGAACAGTTTAAATTAAGATTTTATTCTTGGTGTCCCACCAGACCGGCCAGGGACAGCGACGATGAAGAAGAGGATGAACGTAAAGGAAGGGGCTGCGCCCTTCAGTACCAACACGCGATGGTGCGAGTGCTCACCCAGTTTGTGGCTGAAGCCTCGGACCCTGGCAGCCAACTGAGCTATTTGCTGGGCTCTGACTGGCAGATTGACATTACCGACCTGGTGAGTGACTTCATGCAGGTGGAGGAGCCAAGAATCGCTAAGCTACAGGACGGACAGGTCTTGATCGGGCAGGAGCTTG